CGATCATACAGATCCGTCGTGACCCGACTAATATGAGCAAGCTCGTAGTCGGGTCGGCGCGACAGCGCGTCGGCAAGCACGTTCAACTTGCCCGGCTTGTACTCGACACGGAAGTTGTATTCCGCGAAGAATGACAGCCAACGCGCCATCCGCTGTGAGAGATGTGGCGTGTTGACGGCGGCAGTCCGCAAGGACGCGTGGTCTGTATAAACGACGAAGGGCGTCGAGCCCAGGAGGTGCACTCGGAACTTGACAAGAGCGTACTTCATGGCAAGTAGCTCCTTGTCGTGGACTGAATAGTTCCGTTCGGCTGCCTTGAGCTGCCTGGACTGGAACGAGATGACCCGTTCGCGGCCTTCATCGTCGGCCTGCAATAGCGCACAGCCAATTGCGTAGTCAGACGCATCACAGACTACGCTGAAAGGCTTCGTCTCGTCCGGCAATGCCAGGACTGGCGCGCGCTGTAAGCTCGCTTTGATGTCGTTAAAACCATCTTGATGGCGACGCTCCCAGCGCCAGTCGACATCCTTCTTCAGGAGATCCGACAAGGGCCGTGCCAGCTCGGCGTAGCCTGCACTATACTTGTGCAGGTAGTTGGCGAGGCCCAACCACTGTCGTAGGTCCTTCTGCGACCGAGGTGGCGGCTAAGCCGCGATGGTTTTCACCTTCTCCGGGTCCGCCCGGACCCCGGCGCTGCTGACGAAGCAGCCCAGGACCTTGATCTCCTCAGCTGCGAACACACATTTGTCGATGTTGGCGTACAGCTTGTTCGCCCGCATGACTTCGAACACACGTCGAAGGTGCTGGAGATGCACCTCCATGGCCGTCTGGCCTGCCTCGGCACGGCTGTGGACGAAGATGTCGTCAAAGTAAGTCTGTGTGAACGCACGCAAAGGTCGGAAGAGTTGTGTGACCAAGCGATTGAACGTTGCCGGGGCGTTAGAAAGCCCCTGAGGCATGACCAGCCACTCCCAGAGCATACCGCTCGGCGTGCTAACAGCCGTGAGTGGGATGTCGCTCTCGCGCATCAGGCTCTGGTAGTATCCGTCCACCAGGTCCAGCACGCTATACAGCGTTCAGCCGGCCATGCAACACGGGATCGGTGTCTGCGCAGGCATTGTCGCGCTGTTCAGCTTGTTATAAGCATGAACCAGACGCCACTTTCCGTTCGGTTTGCGAACACAAAAGGTAGGCGTCGAGTGCGGGGACTTCGACTCCCGCACCATGCATGCCTTCGCCTTGGCGGCAAAGAAGGCATCAATGACTTCACACTGATCCCGGGGAAGAGGCCATTGCCTCGTGACACAGTACTTCGTGCCCGGCACGAGATCGATCTCGTGCCTGATTCCCCTGTCCGGAGGGAGATTGGACGGTGGATCCTTGGACACCACGTCCTCAAACTCCTTCACCAAGGGGTACACCGGGTCCCGGGGGTTCTTAAGAATCTCAGAGCCCATGTGCGACGCGCGCTGTCTCTGGAACTCCTCCAGGACTGCCTGGTCCATGACCGAGGACGAGTTCAACTCGGCCGACGTGGACTCCGGTCGGAGGAGAACCAACTCTGCGATCTCCCCGGCCATTAGCTCGGCCAAGAAGTCCTCCATGGCGAGCTCCTCAAGGTTCAGCAACTCTGAAACCTCGGGCAGAGCTGTAAGCTCGACAGCTCCTGCTCTGACCCGACTACCGGTCACGCCGTCGAAGATGTGATAACACTCTTCGGCGGCTGGAGCCTTGGCTGGAGGCTCGGAGTCGCTGGCGACTGGCGTCGTCGGCCACACGACTAGGCCCGGCTTACGACGTGACCCTCGGGTGTCTTCGTCTCGTGGCGCCGCCTTGACGGCACCACCGATCTTCTCGATCTCGTGCGGAACTACGTTACCCGCCTTGTTCTTGAGCGGAACTTGGTTACCCGCCTTGCTGGGTGGAACTATGTTACCCACCTCGCCGTGTGGAACTTGGTTACCCACACCAGGAGCGCTTCCACCGACTCCCGCATCAGTTATGGTCTGAGTGACCTCCTGTGGAACTATGTTACCCACATCGGAAGCGCCAGCAGTGCCTTCCTCATCAGTTACGGTCTGAGTGATCTCGCGTGGAACTTGGTTACCCACGCCAACGCCAGCGGCGCCTTCTCCAGCAGCCCTTGCTGCCTGCGATACTTCGTTACCCGCGTGTGGGCCTACGTTACCCACCTGGTAGGTGCTGTCCGGCACCTCCACTCTCAGGCCTTGTCCGGCCCGGTCGGAGTCGTCGTCAGTCTCGACGGACCCCAAGAACTCATTAGACGCTGCTGCGCCCTGGCGGCCCTCGCGGGCGCCCCCGCTGCTGCCAGAGGTGGGAACATGACTCACCAAAGCTCTGTCCGAGCGTGGAGGACGGCTGGCCCCGATGGCCTTGCCGCGCCAGTCGATCCAAGGCTCGTGTTTCTCCAGCCACGGCATACCAAGGATCAAGTCGTACTTGTCCATGTCTAGGACCAAGAACGGCTCCATGCTGTCGAAGTCCTCGAACTTGACAGTGAGGTCCATGTGGACCCGAGGTACTTCTACCACCGTACCGTCGACCAGTCTTACCGAGACCAGCCCGTTGCCTTTGCTGCCTCGTAGCGCATCGGCGTACTTGTCGCGATTGCGTGCGACAGTCTGGCGGCGCGCAAAGTTCTTGGACGCCCCAGAGTCGATCAAGATTCTCAAGGGATGATCGTATCCCGGTACACTTGCGTGTACCACAAGCAGCCCACCGCTGCCCTTCTCCGCTTCGAGAGTACAGAGACTCTCAGGGCTAAGTCCCCATGGCGTGCGCCACCCGCACGCCCCTCATGAAGACCTAGTGTTTCCCCAGTAGGGCGCCCCGCCCCTACTGGTGTCCGGCGTTCCCCTGGTTCCTGGGGCCCGGCTTCTGCTAGCGACCCCTAGAGCCAAAGGGCTTCGAAGAGAACTTCTTCTTCAGTCCTCCCGCGGGACAGGCACGTTTCATGTGCCCAAGCTTGCCACAGCCGTAGCAGCGAATGTCGCTCTGCTCGGCCATGCCCAGATCCATGGGAACCGGCCCGTTGATCGCTCCATTGCCTGAGTTACCATTAGGCGCACCGCCAGAGGCAGGGTTGCTCTGCCATAACGTTGCGGGGGTACGAGCCTGCTTGTGGCTGTACTCCTCCTGGAGGGCGATCTGAATCGCCTCCTCCATAGTGTTTGCTGGCACACGGAACAGTTGCGTGCGGGCAGGACCGACACGCAGACCACGGTCACCTTGATGTGCTCAGGCAGGGGGTTCCCCACCGAAGAGGCAGTGAGCACTCGCATCTCCTGGATGTACTCATGCAGCTCGCGCCTTCCTTGTTTGCAGGCGAGGAAGCGCGAACGCTGGCGGTACTCGTAGTTCGCCGGAAGAAACGCGGTGCGCAGCTGCTCGCACAGCTGGGACCATGATGCGAAGCATCCAGGCGTCGTCGCTTCGCGCGTATACGCCCAACTCTTAGCGCGACCACTAAGGTTGGAGAGCGCAAAGGCGACACGGAGTCGCTCGTCCGAGACGAGAGCCGCGTCCATCGCGAGCTCAACCTCTCGAACCCAGAAGTGAAGGTTTTCTCCTTCCTTTCCCTCGAAGGGGTGAACCTTCAGCCGCAGGGGCTTCGGTTGCACCGGCTTCGGCGCGGCCGCAGTGTCGTGCAGCCCTTGAACGTGGGCGATGAGCCCTCGCTCGTAGGTGTCGAACGCGTTGATACGCTCAACCTGCTCAGCCGGCGTCGCCGCCGCTGAGCTACGCAGGGCATCTGTTCCAAAGATGCCTGCCATCTTACGCGTTGTGTCGTCTTCGCCACTCTTTGCCAGCATGTCGGCAAGTGTGGAAACAGTGTCGAACTGCTTGGCATGAATAATCGCTTCCAGTCAGAAGTCCGTCAACGTTTGCCGGCGCTCATTTTGCTTCGAACCTATGACAGAGAAATCCGATTCCACTGTCGTGTATTCGGAAGTTTAGTAGCCAATGCACCACATCATGGTTGTTACGTCTCGAAGCGTCCCTGTGCAAGTGCGCACCCTTCCTCGAAAGTTGTCTTTGTGGCGGAGCAGCATTCCAGCTTTTGGTGGAACTTGGCGCCCTTACGAACTGCGCGAATCAGCGCTTTGTTCTCTGTTTTAATTTGTTCAATTCGTTATGATGTCCATCCTACACGTTCAGGGGCGTTCTTAACCGGGGTTGTACAGGTGTACGTACAACCTGTCCAAGAGACATACCCGGTGTACGCTACACCCGTACTACCATTGAACGAGAAAGAAAGTGATCCGTTCACCTCACATTTCCTTAACATATTTTCTCATCTCCAAAGGGACTATTTGCATGCTTCAAGTGTATCATGATTGATAAGTACCTGATGCTGAGTATGTAGAAAAAGAGGCAGAACTTGGCAAAGATACACAAAAAGGTCCTCGTTTTACATGAAAAGGTACATATATATACATAGAATCAACTCCTGAGATATGATTGGCTGGACTCTTCCTTTTTACTTAGGGCTCGTCTCTGGACGATGAAAGTTCTGCCAAGTCCCGCCAATTCCCACCAGTTCCCGCCGTTCACCCCCGTTCACACGTTCACTTCGTTCACAGAGGTCTGGTGCACCGTACTACCGGTGCGCGTTTCTTTGTGGCTCATTATTACGCAATCGGTTGTACGGCATACAACAATACACCCGTACAACCGCTGTTAAGAACGCCCCTCAAGACGGGTTTGTACAGCGAAAGAAGCGTACAGAACGATGCTGACCATGTTGTAGCCAGCGAGTGCGGCAACACGGGAGGTACGTCTGTGTAGCGCTAGCGCAGCGTTGAGGTCTTCTAGTTGAGCGATTTATTGGGTGAGAAGGGTTGTTACCCCTTGAAGACGTGTGGATTTACTTGATAGCGTAAACACAGCAACATCATAAAAGCGAACCAAAAGGTAATTTTCCGTGTGAAGTGAGTGTAGCGGGTTAGCGAAGCGGAACAAGCAAAGCAGTGGAAAAAATGGTTTCCAGCAGAAGGAAGACGCTTCATCAAGCACTTCTCCAAGGCCAAGATCATGCTGCGCGCTGCCCTGCCAAAGAGGGTCAAGATACAACTGCAAAAAATGGACAAGACGGAGAGATCGTCCAGTCGCCGATCTCGGACCAGGAATCTGCGGCTCCCCCCCCTTCCTGCTGTGGTTCATTTCGATTTGGGTTTTGCCACGGCACCAATACACGCGACCAAGCTGCCGTGTAAGAAGCCGCGCACCAGCACCGCGGTCGCCGCTGTCTCGTACAAGCTAGTGCAGCGAAAGATTTAACTCACCACACGCACCAGCCCGAGGTCGCCTTGTCAACCCACACGCGGCACTTAAGGCGCTTTCGCAGCATGTCCCTCTACCGGTACGCGAACCTCGTCATCGAGCCCAGTGCCGCCAAGAGCGTGCTGTCCCGCAAGGAACAGGGACCCGATGGCCCTCAGGAGCCCGCCCTCCTCGTCGCCCGAGCTCCTGACTCTCAACCCCAACGACTTCATCCCTGTTCTGCATGACGACGACTTCCCGCTGGCCGAGGGCAAAGCCATCCTGAGCTACCTAGCCGAGAGAGTTATGTATCGCCGCCCAAGATTAACCCACGCTGGTGCCTCATCAAGCCTAAATTGCTGGTGTGTCCGTGCACTCCACGCTGAACGTGACGACGGCCGCGGAGGCCGCCCGAGCCAAAGACTTGCCCGTGCTGCTCGACACGCTCAACAAATGTGCAGCAGTTCTCGTGCTCCGACATCGCCGTGTACTGCGAGTTCGTGTAGATCCTGCTCACGGACGTCTCCGTCCTCGAGCCAAGCCCAGAGGAGATTGCACGGTCCGTGACGGCATTGTACCTCGGACTGCTGAAGATTGACGCGACCAAGAGGGAACGACGACAAAGCGCGCCTGCTCCGCCAGCATGTCATCATCGCTCGTGAAGACCGGGCTGTCTCACGACGAGGTCCACGAGCTTGACCAGCTCCTCAAGACGAAGACGAAGACCAAGACCAAGACCAAGACCAAGACCAAGACCAAGACCAAGACCAAGACCAAGAAGACCAAGACCACCACCAAGACCAAGACCAGGACCAAGATCAACCTGTACCCCTCAAGACAGTTTCGCGTCCAGTCCCCGAAGCGCTTCAGCTTAAGGCACGGCGCCCCCCTCTTCAGAGCGGTGAAGCTTGCCGACAACACGCCGCCCTGTGCTGACTGTACCATCAGCGTTCACAGCGAGTACGTGTTACCGGTGACTGCTCTCATCACACCCTCTTCAAAGCTCAATTTTATCAAGGGGGCCTCGCTTTTCAACGGGTGCTCCCATCGCCATTAAGGCGAAGACGCCGGAGGTTGCAGCTGTCCGACGGGCCATTCAGACGAAAGGATTGACGGATGGTGACGCCAAGTACATGCAAGCGCGGCATCCAGAAGTCATGGCAGCTTGGCATTAAGCTGCTATGGGGCTCGCTGGCAGCGCACACCAGACAGTTACTCCGACTTCTCGCTCGATCGGCCGAGCGGCTAGATCTAATCGCGCGCAAGGCTACAAAGAAGTCACGCGTGCCAACGACCCTGCGCACACCACGCTTGGCTTCTGGAGTGCGAGTCCCCGGAAGGTCGTCACGACCCAGTGTCATCTGGAAGCACTACCAACCACTTGGGTATACACCCGGCTTGACCATACAGTCAGCCACTTGGGCATACGCCCCGCTTGACCATACGGTTGAGCACATTGGCCATACAGCCTACTGGACCATACAGTCCAGCTTCATTCTCGGGCACACACCCACGTTCGGTTATACAGCCAACGACCCCAGCACTCTATGAGTGCAGAACAACGAGCAGTGCGCAGCTATACAACATTGACCGCAGCTGTCTCCAACGTGAGTATTCCTGCGCTAGATCGAATCCTTCGGGTCAAGTGTTCTTCATTCGGCCACGGCCACTTGGGGGGTTGCCATTCGGCACCTTGCTTCTCAAGCAAGAAACCTCCATGGCTTTGGCCATCTAACCAAATGAACCACACTTGACCCCCAACGTCTGAATGCTTGATGGAAACCACCCATTATTGACCTGGAGGCTTGTATCATACAATTTAAGCATCGAAGCAGGGTCGTTATGAAGCTAGAGATCAAGAGACCGGCATACAACTTGTGAGACCGGCATACAACTTGTATGCCGGTCTCTTGATCTCTAGCTTCATAACGACCCTGCTTCGATGCTTATTGTTTGCGCTTATGGTAGGAAAAGGGCGATCGGCTATGCTAAGCAATTTTGCAGCTTCGTCAGTGGCATCGGTTCTGCCACCGGTTTTGCTTGTCATCATCAAGCTCAGGTAAAGTTTCGGCTGCTTCACAACAAAAGGAGAGTAAAGTGGAATTTCCACACTTCTGGTTTTGGTACGCAATATATAACTTGCATCTTTCTTCATCCATCTGAAGTAAGTACTTCTACAAACATTCCCAGCACAATAATGTACTCCGTTCAGGATGTCCCGAGACATTGCCAAAAAGAAATATTTACCGTGAGCAGTTGCACCCTTGAAAACACTGTATACCGAAGTCATCACCATCTGTATCGCATACACTAGTGCCAAATGTGTATGACCAGCTTTTACGCCCTTCAGGTAACGATAATACACGCCCCCACCCCCACTAAGTTCCATTTAGCTAGCTCAGTGATAATAATCTGGTGCGCAGCAGCCCGTCTCCGCCACCAACACCTGTGCCGACATTGTTGCTGCTACCGCAGCAAGTTTAGGTGCTGAATAGCAAGTGCGACGGCCGTGTCGTCTGTGCACGTGCCCGCGATGACTTCGACGATTGTTGGCGATACTGCTCAAGCTCGTGAAGCTGGAATAGCGTTCTTCATGGTGACGGTATGCGTGGGGCTGTACGTCCTGGTAGTGGAGTGTTTTTATTATTATTGCAGTGAATCCTGCGCTTGCGCGTGTTGAAGGTAGACCTGGTAGAGGTTAGGTTGATAGTACACGCTCTGTTTGCGCTTGTGAGAAGCTGTCAGTGTACTTGTATCTGGAATTGGTGCGTATCCATTTGGTAGAGCTAGTACGTATCGATCTGGAGATGTGAGCGGCTATGGTCCTGGACATACACCGACTACTTAAGCTGGTGGAATGCACGCAACAAATACTGCTGGCATTCCCAGCGCCGAGGTGGCGCGGCGTCTCAAGGCTGAACGTGTCCTATAAACCCCCGATAATGAAATACTTGTGGAGAGCGTGATAGTCACGCTGTAGCAATGATGCTGCTCTTCAGCAGAGACAAGTAGTGGGCGACAAGACCGTAACCTAGGGGTACAACCGTTAGTACCCTAAGAGAGAAAACCGTAACCTGAGTAATATATCGTCTTTTGCCCCCCAGCTCGCAAGTGGTTCTGAGCCCAAAGACTCGATGGAGATTCTAGCTGCCGGCCAGCCTTCCCAGCCAGCAAGATGGAGGAGAAGAGATCAAACAAGAGGAGCTATGCCGTCTCTGTGCTCGACGACAAAAACAGCGACTTCAACGGTTGGTACAGTCGGCTCGAGCTCAAGCTGGACGCCAAGGGCTTGTGGGAGGACTTCTGCGAGAAGCAGGAGGACGTGCCGTCGCAGCAGGAGGAGCCAGACAAGTACAAGACGCACATGCAGCGGAGAAAGCAGGCGCGCTGGAAGATCGACAAGGCGCTGTCGCCCGACCTCTCCAAGACAGTGGAGGAGGAAGCGACGCCGTTCGGTGTGCTCGAGCGTCTGCGCAAGATGTTTGTAGGTGCTACCAAGTTATCTCTCGTGCATCAGCTCCGTGCAGTCATGGAGATGAAGTATGAGAAGGGTACGAACCTGCTAGTGTTCATCGAGGAGCTGAAACAGGATTTCACGAAGCTCGAGAACATGGGTCTGCTGTTGCAAGATTCTCTTAAGCCCTACATCTTAGTGATGGTACTAAATGATACTTTTGAGAATATTTTGCGTCCGTATTTGGTGCACTCTTTAGCAGAGAGCACAGAGCTGGAGTTTGACAAGCTTGTGGAGCTGCTGGAGAGCTCATATTTGGAGGTTAAGAGGCAAGATCAACTACAAGGTCGTGGCTCAGAGGCCAAATCCCATAGTGACTCAGCTTTATTTTCGAAGGGCAAACAGCGTGCCCCTGGTCGTGACAAGCGGACCGCTGATGATGATGATGGGAAGTGCCGTCACTGTCATATGCGTGGCCACTTCATCCGTGATTGCCGCATATATCGCGAGAAGCAGGAGCACGGGTGGAGACATCCACTCCCATTCAGAACAAGGAAGGACTTCCACGATGATGACCGTGATCCTACTCGAAAGCGAGACTACCAGCGAGAGGAAGACCGTAAGCGAGAAGGGGACCGAAAGCGAAGTCGTGATGATAAAGAAAGTGACGGTCGACACTCGCGTGGAGATAAATCTAAGTTTCGCAAGCAGTGATGGTGACCGAGTCATGGTATCGAAAGCAGACAATGAGTCGAGGTCCAGCTCGGAGTCAGCCCTGATGTCTATTGACGCTAGATGCTATGGAGCGAAGACAGATCCCAATGAGTGGATTCTGGATTCAGCAGCCACACGTCATGACATATTTAAAGGAGTATCTAGTGAATTATTGTCCGATCTCTGCTGCTGTGGAAGTTGGTGGTAAGCATGAACTCCATGTTATGGGCATTGGAGATAAGAGAGTGACCTTGAAGACAGATCAAGGCACGAGACAAGTGTGGCTCCGGAACGTGTATTATGTTCCGTCGATCCAGTTCAACCTGTTTTCGGTTCGCATGCAAGTTGCGATGCGTGGAGCGGATTACCTTGCTGTTCACTTTGATCATCCTGCATTTGCTACGGTGATTGATTGCCATTCAAGCAGAGTGGCCTACAGTAATTTGTGCTGCTGCTATTGCAGACGAAAAGAGTGACATGCGGCTGTGACTCATGAGACTCGGACACCCAGGTCGGAACAGCTTTGAAGTAGTGATGCGAAGCAACTGGGAGTGAAGAAGTTCAAAGCTCTCGATCGCACATAGTGCGAAGCGTGTATTGAGAGCAAGCTGACGCGCAAGTCCTTTAAGGACAGAGTCAGCAAGAACCCGAGAACTTGGAAAGTTGGAGAGAAGGCACATGCCGATACGTGGGGGCCGTATCAATCCCCCTCGTATTCTGGTTGCCGCTACTTCTGTGTGTTCGTTGATGAAGCCAGTCGCTTCGTGAGCGTCTTTGTGATGCATGAACGCAAGGAGATCTACCAGGTGCTCCGTGAGTATCGCGCCAATGTTGAGCGACAGAAAGAAGTGAAGATGAAGTGCCTCAATATGGATGGAGCGAAGGAGTATGAGAAGATGAAAAACATCTGCGAGAAAGAGCTCGGGATGGAATGCACGTTGACAGTGAAGAAGACCCCTGAGCACAACGGTATTGCAGAGAGAATGATAAGGACGATCGCTGAGCGAGTGAGATGCGTGCTTTTCGAGGGCAATTTGCCAGAGGAGTTGTGGGCAGAGGCAGCAGTAACCAGTGCATACTGTGTGAACTTACTGCCAGCAAGAGCCAATGATTCGGATTCACCTTATCAGAGGTGGTTTGGCTACAGTCCACCGCTGAAGCATCTAAGAGTATTTGAGTGTTTGGCGTATGTCTTCCTTGAGGCCGATAAGCGCAAGAAGTTAGAGCGACGTGCGAGAAAGATGGTGTTTGTGGGTTATCCGAGAGATCGCAGAGGGTACAAGCTACTCGACTGTGAGACCCTGAAACCTGTCTACAGCCACACTGTTGTCTTTGACGAAAGTCATTTTCCGGTGCTACCGACGATTGAGCAAGCAAAGAAGAATCGAGCTCTCGCTCGACAGCGAAAGAAGGAGCTGCAGGAGCAGCGAAGTGCAGGAGATTCTCTCGGTGAAAGTATTGATGACCATGACGCTATCGCCCACATCTACAATTACGTGCTGCCTATGGAGAATAGTGATGAATCAACGGCTGCGAGAAATGTTCCTGGTGGTCAGTCCAGTGAAATCAGAGGCACCGTTGCAGAAGATGCAACACGGTGCAGCATGCATCAAGGTGTCGAACCTCAAACCGACACCATGACAGATGCTAGCCAGCATATTCGGAATGGCGGCGAAGTAGGCCGAGACAGCTTTGAGACCCCACGTCCGATCAGCGTGGATAGCAGAAACTGGGTCGATCCAAGGCAAGAGAAGCATCGGCAGGGAGCAAGTGTGGGTTTAGCAAGAGGTGGGGCTATTGAAAGTACTGCAGAGCAGAGCGTCGACAGCAGAGCACCGCCAGCAAAGCGTGCAAGAACGACAAGTGCTGTCAGAGCGCAGCATGCCGATCATGCAGTACACCAAGTGGATCGTGCAGTACAGCACAAAGTGCATGAAGAGCGGGCAACTGGCCAAAGTAACCTGGAGGAAAACGAAAAGGCAGCGGCTCGTCCAGAGGCGAGTAGTATTGAAGGCACGGTCAACAGTCGAAAGCGAGGATTAGTGGAAGTGAAGAACAGTGGCAATGAGAGTTCAAGTGACTGCATTATGACTCGAATTGAGCCGCGTTCGACAACCACCAGAAGCGGACGTCGAAGCAAGCCTCCGAAGTGGATGAGCGACTTCGTCCTGATGGCTAAAGAGATTGAGTCGTGCGAAGAGGAAGCACGGAAAGACTTTGTGAAGAGTGTTATGCAGAAGTGGCACTCAGAAGCCATCGTGATGTCCGCAAAAGTGGTTGAAGAGCCTGCTACATTGGCAGATGCCATGGAGACTGAAGAGTTCATGCAGTGGAAGAAGGCAGCAGGTACAGAGTACAATTCACTGCTGGAGAACCAGACTTGGGAGTTAGTCCCACGTACTCCAGGCATGAAGGTGTGGGTGCTGAGAGTGAAGTATCGAGGAGACGGCTCCATCGAGCGGTACAAGGCTCGGCTAGTAATAAAGGGCTATTTGCAAGAGTATGGAGTCGATTATTTGGAAGTGTTTGCACCTGTGGTTCGCTTTGAATCTCTGCGGTTCCTGCTGGCTTACGCTGCTATGATGGATTATGAAGTTGAACAAATGGATGTAACGACTGCTTTCCTGAATGGGCAGCTTAATGAAGTTCTTTTTATGGAGCAACCAGAAGGATTCGTCGTTCCCGGCAAAGAGAACTTTGTCTCCAGACTCAAGCGATCACTCTACGGGCTGAAGCAAGCCCCGAGAGTGTGGTATCATCTGCTGCGAGAGTGGCTGGAGCAAAATGGCTTCACCATGTTGAAGTCAGAAGCATGTGTTGGAGTCAAGTTCATTGATGGAGCGCCTTGCTTTATCTCTATCTACGTGGACGACCTATTACTGTTTGCGCCCACCAAGACTATTGTGAATGACTTCAAAGCAATGCTTCGGTCGCGCTTCAAGATGAAGGACCTTGGTCCTATCCACTACATTCTAGGCTGGGAGATCGAAAGGGACAGAGCAAAGAGAGAGATCAGAATCTCGCAGCACAAGTACACGAACCAAGTTCTAGAGAAGTTTGGTATGAGTTCGTGTAATGGAGTTCGCATTCCTAGCAATACTGAGCTGTTGGTATCGAAAGAGCTGTGTGCTAGTGACCCAGATGAAGCTGAGCTCATGCGGGGCAAGCCGTATAGAGCTGTAGTTGGTTCACTAATGTATCTGATGCTCGGGACCAGACCCGATATTGCTTTGGCAGTGCGAGAGTGTAGCCAGTACTTAGCAAATCCTGGCATCGCTCATTGACGAGCAGTCAAGACTATCCTAAGATTCTTAAGCAGACAGAAGACTACGGTCTAGTGCTGAGCGGAACCAAGCATGTTGGTAGCCCCTTGCGGTTAAAGATGATTGCGTTTAGTGACGCAGATTTTGCAAGTCACCCCGATCGACACTCGATCGCTGGATACGTGACGATGCTTGGAGAGAGTGTAGTGTCGTGGTGCAGCCAAGCCGAAAAGACTGTGGCGTTGCACACCACTGAGGCAGAGTATATAGCGCTGAGTATGCTAGTGCAAGAGATCATTCATCTTAGACAGATGAGCAAGGAATTGCTGAAGAAGCAGCCTGAGACTACTGATGTCTTTGTAGACAACGCGAGTGCGTTGAAGTTAGCCAAGAATCCTGAGTTTCACTCAAGAACCAAGCACATAGATATCAGACATCACTTCATCCGTGAGAAGCAAGACAGGCACGAGATTGAAGTGCAGAAGGTTTCTAGCGCAGACAATGTGGCGGACGTGTTCACGAAGCCGCTACCGCGAGTTGCATTTGAGAAGCACAGAGACGCTTTGCGCGTCATGCCAGTGCAGTGCAACGTACCTGCCTCCGAGAAGCATCAGGTGGGGCACTTGCGGAGAGCGTGATAGTCACGCTGTAGCAATGATGCTGCTCTTCAGCAGAGACAAGTAGTGGGCGACAAGACCGTAACCTAGGGGTACAACCGTTAGTACCCTAAGAGAGAAAACCGTAACCTGAGTAATATATCGTCTTTTGCCCCCTAGCTCGCAAGTGAAATAAAGCTTCGACTTGTACAAAGTCCAGCTGCGTGTCTTTCTCACCTGCTTGGGATTTCGGAGCGTAGTTGGTCCAATCGCGGACACTGAATTGATTTGTCAGGAACAAATAGCTGAGGCAATGTGGAGGAGCTTTGTCGACTGGCAGACAGCGAGTGAGCATTATCAAAGCAAGGTCAAGAAATTAAATGGTAAGGGCCGCTACAATTCAAAGCGTAAACTAGGTGCTAAGCAGCAAGGCGCACGTAAGGAGACACGCACATGCTATTCGTGTGGTAAGATTGGCTATTGGTAGACAACTGCCAGGATAAGGAGAGCGGTGAGCCGAATAAGCCTACGAACGCTGAGTTCAAAAAATGACAAGGACACAACCCGGGTAACCGCAAAGGCGTGAGTGTTCTGGGCTGTATGTGCGTGGTGTCCCGGTACCTGTGGTGCAGGGTACAGCGTGTAGAATAAACATTTTAGTGCAACGTCTCTGGAGTGTTAACATCTACGCTACGCTCGACTTACCTGCAGGGGATGGTTAGGAATGAAGTTGTAGCTGGTATGACAGGGAAATGCGTGGCAGCATGCAGTCGCTGTAGAGGACATTTAACCTTGCTAAAATGGCACAAGTCACACAAGAACACGGGTACTCGGTGTGGAATAAGGCCCCGCGAAGAAGCGGAAGCACCAGCGCGGGTGAGGAAGGCGTCAAGATGGGGGACGTTCGACGCGGTGCATGGGGTGAGTGGAAATCGACGAGGTGGTGGGTTATGAGACATGGGCGTCTGAGTCTGATTCGTCGCGGAATCCCGGCAACCAGGTCCGAACCTAGCCGAGCAAAACCCGCTGAGCAAAACCCTGCCGAGTAAGAATCTTGATTTCGTTATACAAATCAAATTGAAGGAGGCAAAGTAGACACGACAGTAGTAGGGATAAGTACGGAGCGGTAGGCTTAGCAACGGGGATAACCAGTCGCCAGTAGCAAAGACATAGAATAGGGTAAGCACTCAGTCTCGAAATTTATCTGAACCACAAAGACCTCCATTTTTCTCTACGGTTCCGGAGACACTTAATAACGCGCTGCCTAAGGGAATGACCGCATTGGCCTGGTAACCGCCGTGCAGAAGACCAGCGCCGGACTGATAAAGCTACGCACAAGCCCCAAGAAACGGTGGACCGACAATGCCGCGCACCAGAAGGGGTCTCAGAGGAAACACCGGTATGATAAGTCTGTACACCCAAGGCACCGATGCCCTTCGACAAGAATCAAGCGTCCACTCAACCCCCAACTCTAAAGCCTGCGAAGCCTGGGACTGTATTACGAAGATAAGCTACTCAAAGTACCGGGAAATTGCCCGCCGCGACAGCGGACGCGATGAGTTTGTGCGAAACCGAACTCACGAGGTTTCTGTGAGTGCTACTCTACGTAGGTGTGCAGCTCGTCCCTACCAAAACCTGACGACCGAGCTGAGCTACGTTTGCGTTCTCTCCTCAAACGGTTTTAGTTGGTAATGACCGATGCAAGCACAAACCGGATAGACTTTTGTAGCTTCGGAAGCGTGAGGAGACTGAGGATTCCAAACACTCGTGGTCAACGCCGGAGCGGCCGCTGCCAAGCCTCACGTGCGGCTTTGCTGGCACTGCGGCCAGTCGTGCGTGACAGGCTCCAGTCACACCACCGTCACCCACAGGTCACCCATACCCACGAGCTAGCACGGCTCACGGCCGATAGCGGCGCTGAAAACGAGCGATGACCCAGGAGGCGGAGGCGGGGATCGAACCCGGCTGGCCGGCGAGACGGGTGGGTGGGCATCGGTACCGGGTGGTGCAGGTCCGTGGTGTATGTTTGCGGCGGTGGCGAGGTGCGTGGCGGCCGGTATTTGCGTGGCACGAGCGGGTTCCGGAGTAGGTGCGCAAGGGCTGGGTTAGGCGCTCTTATGGTGTAATGGTTAGCACTCTGGACTTTGAATCCAGCGATCCGGGTTCAAATCCCGGTAGGAGCTCGTTTTTGCGCGGCGTTGCAAGCGTGTAGCGTGCTGGAGGCGCTGCGGTGCGTGTAGCGTTCGTAATTCGCGTTTGAAAATCGGTTAGGGGGTAGACCAGTTAGTGCTGGTCTTATGGTGTAATGGTTAGCACTCTGGACTCTGAATCCAGCGATCCGGGTTCAAATCCCGGTAGGACCTCGTTTTGCACCCATCCTACCGGCACCACCACGCCCCCGTTGTTGCTGCGCCGAACACCTGCCGCACACACGCGCTCCCGATGCCCTGTTGCCACTTCACAGCAGCCGCTATTACGTTCGAGTTCCAAAGACTCGTGGTCGACGCCGGAGCGGCCGCTGCCAAGCCTCACGTGCGGCTTTGCTGGCAGTGCGGCCAGTCGTGCGTGACAGGCTCCAGTCACACCACCGTCACCCACAGGTCACCCATACCCACGAGCTAGCACGGCTCACGGCCGATAGTGGCGCTGAAAACGAGCGATGACCCAGGAGGCGGAGGCGGGGATCGAACCCGGCTGGCCGGCGAGACGGGTGGGTGGGCATCGGTACCGGGTGGTGCAGGTCCGTGGTGTATGTTTGCGGCGGTGGCGAGGTGCGTGGCGGCCGGTATTTGCGTGGCACGAGCGGGTTCCGGAGTAGGTGCGCAAGGGCTGGGTTAGGCGCTCTTATGGTGTAATGGTTAGCACTCTGGACTTTGAATCCAGCGATCCGGGTTCAAATCCCGGTAGGAGCTCGTTTTTGCGCGGCGTTGCAAGCGTGTAGCGTGCTGGAGGCGCTGCGGTGCGTGTAGCGTTCGTAATTCGCGTTTGAAAAT